AGAGCACGAAATGCGGACAGTACAGACATCATCAGAGTTGCCAAGGCGGTCAGCCTCGTGGAGCTCCTGCAGCGTGTACGACGTCTCAGTACGGCGCAATTCGAGGACGTTGTCATGGTTGTCCATGTCGACCATCTTGGTTATCTGTCTCTTGGCCGAGTTGTAGCGAGCGTTTTGTTCGTCGTGGGGACGCACGCGTGGCACACGCAGTCGCCCGCTTTCGTCAAGCACCAACTCCGGCTCGAAGTTCCAAAGGACCTGATCACCGACCGCAGCGTCGTCCTCAATGCGTCCTTCATGGGCCGTTCCTCCTTGTCGGGCTGTGTCCCCCAGTGTGCGGAGACGCAGTGACAACTCGGCCACCATGATCGACAGCTTGGAAGCTTCATCATTCTCGCCGCTGCGCTCGACCTTCTTTCCCAGATCCAGTGTCTGCAAAAGTGTGCCCGGAAGCTCGAAGAAGAGTGTCCGGAACAAGCCCACCGTGATGCCGGCGTACGGGTTGTTACCGCCGTCGCCCGTCAGGAGCCACAGCACCGTTTCAGCCGAGGAGAGCAGGGTCTTGAGTCCGAGGAAGGCAGGCTCCGACGCATCCTCGAAGACGTTTTCACCCTCGAGCTCGATAAGACTGATGACGTGGACATCTTCCTTTGGCAACTGGGAGACGATGCTGTCGTGATCCTCGAGCCGGGGTAGGTGGATGATTTGGGAGAAGTGAGGCTGGAGTGCCGAGGAGAGCTGGCCACAGAGGTTGGACAAAAATGCCGATGATGAGGGCGTTTCCTTGCCTGATCCCAGCAGAACCAGCGTGGGACCAGTTCGAGTAGCAGTAGCAAACTCGGAGCTTCTGTCGATGGCCGTGAGGGGATTCTTTAACATCTGGACCTGCTCGGTAGATGCCTGAGCGACAATGACTGCGCCAGGAACGCCGACGGGATCCAGCATAGGTGAGTTCGTCTCAATGCCATCGAATCCGGTCTCCCGGAGGACGGCATCCCACTCCTCGAGCGTGATACTGGGCCCCCCAATCCGGCCATCCTTCTCGCCCACCCACCAGCCCGGGAGTCCGCCCATGACAAGGCCATGTCTTAACACATCATTCCGGATGATCTCGACCATAACCAAGTACCCTCCCGGTCTCAGCAGCTGCCTCGCGTGCTCGACCGACGTCTTCAACGACTCGGTCGCGTGCAGCACGTTGCTCGCGAACACGATGTCGTAGCTGTGCTTCTTGAACCCCTGCTCCGTCGGGTCCTGGCTGATGTCGAGCGTCTTGAACAGCATCTTGTGGGCTTGTGCCGCGAACCTCTGGGCCGCGTAGCCGAAGAAGGCACTCGAGATGTCCGTGTACGTGTACGACGCAAAGGCGCTGCCAATGCGTCCGAAGATGGCCTGCGTCGCGCCTCCGGTGCCGCCACCGACCTCTAGCATGCGCATGTGCGGGTACTTATTGCACAGTTGTTCCGCGACCCCCGATATAAGCCCGTTGAGCATTTCAAACCCGATTGCGTCTGTGTAGTACTTGTCTAGGCGGTTGTTCTGCGTCATGTGCTCCAGGATACTCGACTCGCCGCTCAGGATGGTGGGAAGGGTCAGATTGTCACCCACGGCGCGCGTGAGGTTGAAGTCGGCGTCATCACTCCCGTATGAGTCCATCAGCTCCACGACATCCTCTTTCGTGTCGGATATCCACTCTGAGGGGACGAATGGATGCTGGTCGCTCTTGACACGGTTGTAGATGCGCTCGGCGTTGGAAAGAAGGGCTTGTCGGTATGATGGTAGTTCGGTGCGCTTCTCGGCGTCGATGGTTAGGTGCAAGCTCTTGAGGTAGAAGAAGGCGGCTCGTTCGGCGTCAAGGGCCTTTTGGGCCTCCCATGGTGTGGCCTTTCGGTCGCCGTAGATGAGCGTGGCATCAGGCTTGTCAAGGGTGAGGAAGGCCTCCTGGAAGAGGAGGCGGTCGTCGTCCTTGGTGGCGGCGGCGAAGGGGGAAAAGGTGATGCCCTCGACCTCGATACATTGCTTCGTAATCTTCTTATCACTGCCACCTTCTTCTGATTCTTGGCATGGGTACGACAAGAACACGTTGACATCGCCCGTCACACAGTTGGGCCGCGGGTCGGTGATGGTGCAGTCGATCAGCACCTCGTCCGTTATCTCCTCACCGCACAAGTCAGGAACCAAGGTGATGCGCCGTACCGCGGTGGGAGCCACGATGGACCACAGACGGCCGTCTCCGGGGGCACTGTAAGCGGCGTTGAGGCCCTGCAACGCGCTGTCGAGCATTCCAGGGTGGAACAGCAGCCGCGTCTCGCCCTTCTCGAAGGCCGGGTTGCGGATGGTGGCCGTGGCGTAGTTCGTCTTGCGCTGGATCCTAGTGAGGCCATGGAAGGCGCCGTCGTAGCCGAAGCCGAAGTCGTCACGGAGAACTTGGTAAAATCTGTCGACGTCGATGTTGGAGAGGTGGCCTTGGGGTGCGTCTCGGGCTGCGAAGCGTGATGGCCCTGTTGTTGGTTCTGCTGCTGCCTTTTCTTCCTCTTCTCCTTCTTCTGCTTCTTGATCGGCTTCTTTCCTGTCGGGGATGTTGGTGCTGGTGTTGGCTCCAAGCATGATGCGAACATTACCCGTGCAGTTCAACGCCATGGATGCCGTGCCCGTGGTGGAAAAGGCGTTGAACTCGGCCGTGATGATGTCGTCGCTGCGCTTTATATGCGTCATGGACGTCACCAGCTCCGTACCCGCATCGTTTAAAGCAATCGCCTTGGGAATCCGCAGATCCAAGAGATCAATCGATTCTACCGAGATTTCCACTCCCCCAGTCGCCGCCGCCATCTGCATAGCGGCCTCCATGGCAATGGCAATGTACGCAGTCGCAGGGAAGACGATCTGTCCCTGCAGCGAGTGGCCGGCGAGCCACTTGAGCTCGTTGATCTTTAGCACGTTGCGCCAACGCATCTCCTCTACGGTGCCCTCGGCCATGTCGAGCCCGAGAAGGTCGTGAGGACGGCCGGAGTTCTTGCTGAAGAGCTTGGCTAGGCGGGACTCGGCCCAGAGCACGCGATCGTGGTTCCAAGGGTAGGATGGGAGGTCGTGGAGCACTAGTGAGGATTGTTTTTGGCATGCTTCCTGGAACCGTCCCAAGTTGACGCAGGCGGGGCCGAAGCGAGTCCAGAGGTATCCCAGAGCTTGGGAAAAGGACTCGGCGTCGTCCTGACCACGTCTCAGGGTGCCCGAGTAAGGCAATTCCTTGCCGCAAATTTGGAGAATGGACTCGGTGGCAGGCGCCTGGAGTGCTGGGTGTGGTCCAACTTCCATCACCCCGATGATGGCATTGGTATCGAACGTTGCTGCCGTCAGACACGACTCGATAGCCGTATAGAAGAGCACAGGCTTGGTCATGTTGTCGACCCAATACTGCCCGCCGAGGCCCTGCCCCAACTCCGTACTGGTGCTGACCTGTTGTCCGTCAAAGACACTCGAGAACCACAGTGCATCTCCTTCAGCCGGCTGCTGGACTCTCACTCCACAGTCCGTCAGAGCCGCCAGATAGGCATCTGCGCACACCATCATGTGGTGCGAGTGATATGCCGTATTCACTCTCAACACCCTCGCAAACTTCTTTTCCTCGAGGAAAACCGACTCGGCTTGAACCACAGCTTCGGCATCACCTGAAAGTGTGACACTGCTCGGCGCATTATGGGCCGCTACCGAAAGCTTGCCGGCGAAGTCGTCCAGCTGGCACAGCTCCTCGGCATCTTCAAGACTTGTGCCCACGGCCAACATCTTGCCTCCCAGTCCCACCGCGAGCTTCGTGGCGAACAAGCCGCGATAGTATGCTATACGGACGGCGTCCGTGGCGGTCAGGAAGCCAGCGGCATACGCAGCGGCAATCTCACCCGACGAGTGTCCCACCACGGCGCGGAACTTGACTCCGGCAGCGCGGAGGAGGTCGACTAGGATGATTTGCACGGCGGTACAGAGTGGCTGCGAGAAGGCGGCTTCATTGACGCGGGATTGCCAGATATCATCGTCACCGTTGTTCTCGTCGTTCTTGGGCGAGAGGGCGTGGGTCAAAGTCCAATCGGGCCTGTGGTCGACAGGAAGGGCAGCGAGTGATGAGTCTAATTGAAGCAGAATCTCACGCGCCATGGGGACCGTGGCAACCAGGTTTGCGCCCATGGCGGGCCACTGAGCACCCTGGCCTGTGAAGACGCCCAAGAGGCCTGGTGTGTCTGATTCTGTGGTGCCTGAGGAGATGGCCTGCACAGCGTAGTCGTCGTCTGTTCCGAGAGCCGCTTTCATCTTCTGAAGGAGTTGGTCCGCAGAGATGGCGGCGATAGCGACACGTTGGGAGAGTGCTGATCGTTTAGTACTGAGGGTATACGCCAGTGCTGACATGTCGACCACGTTGTCATCACTGGTACGCTGGTCGAGATAGGTCACGACGCCTTGAAGGACCGTCGAGAGCGAAGTTTTCGACGCTGCTGAGAAGACAAACGGAACGGGTACGGGAAACTTCGATGAGTCTTCGTCTTTACCGCCTTTCTTGTTCTTCCCATCGAAGCTTTCGAGGATAACGTGAGCGTTGGATCCGCCAAAGCCGAAGCTGTTGACACTAGCTCTGCGCACGCCTCCCTTAAGCACCTCGGGCCACGGCTCACACGAGGTGGGAATGCGTAAGTGGTCGACAAATGGTTTCAAAGCCGGGTTCAAGCGGTTGAACAGAAGGTTTGGGGGCACTATGCCCTCACGGAGGGCCAATGTTGTTTTGATGAGACCCGCCACACCGGCGGTTCCTTCGGTGTGGCCGACAACGGTCTTGATAGACCCGACGAGAATCTCCTCCAACTTCGGATCCGATTTGGAGGAGAACATGGCCGAGCAAATGGCTTCGGCCTCCTGTGGGTCACCAACGGCGGTCCCGGTGCCGTGCGCCTCGAAGAACTGACAGCGATCGGACCGCTTGGTCAAGTCCAGCCCGGCCTTGGCGTATGTCTGCCGGATCAAAGCCGCTTGGGCAGCTGAGCTGGGCATAGTAAGACCCTTGGTTCTCCCATCGTGGTTGACGCCAATCTCGCGGATGACGCTGAGGACCTCGTCACCATCCTCTAGAGCCGAGCTCAAAGTCTTGAGAACGATTGCGGCAACACCCTCGCCACGCGCGTACCCATCGGCATCAGCGTCCCACATGCGACAGCGGCCGGTAGGCGAGAGCATGTTAAGCTTGCTAAGGGTAATGAAGGACAACGAGGACAGTACCAAGTTCGTCCCGCAGGCGACGGCGACGCGGCTGGAGCCATTGCGGAGAGCCTGGACGGCCTCGTTCACACCGACCATGCTCGACGAGCACGCCGTGTCGATAGTCATACACGGCCCGTGCCAGTCGAAAAAGTACGACACGCGACTCGACGCGTTGCTGGCGGCCGTGCCGGTCCCGGCATACGTGCGCACCATGTTCACATCCTGGCCCTGAAGAGCGAAGTACTCCTGTGACATGAGTCCAACGAAACACGCCGTGTCGCTGCCGGCGAGTTTGTCCGATGCCAGGCCAGCCGACTCGAGGGCCTCATAGACGACCTCGAGCAGCTGGCGCTGTTGGGGGTCGATGACCTCGCTCTCGGCGGGCGGGATGGCGAAGAACTTTGTGTCAAAGAGGCGCACATCCTCGCTAAGAAGGTAGGCCTGCTTGGTGGCCGTGGTGCCATGGTGCGTGGGGTTGGGATGGTAGAAGCGGTCGATGTTGAAACGCGTGGGCGGTATGTCTTGCGCCACCTCACGGGGGGAGGACAGGAGGTCCCAGAGTTTCGACGGGCTAGTGGCGTCGCCAGCAAAGCGACAGCCCATGCCGACGATGGCGATGGGCTCGTTGGCGGTTTTGGACATGGCGGGGTATTGGGAAATGTTGAATGAAATTAGATGGGACGGGATGGGATGGGCCGGGACGAGAGAGGATGGGGTATAACGTGATGTGATATTGTTCAAGGCACAACAGGCAGAGGTAAGGTTCTTATATAATTTAGATAGAGAATATACCCAGAACCGTGGACACAAGAGAAGTTGTACTCGTAATACAAACAGCTTAATTCAACCATACGACAAAATGAGCAAGACATCCATTCCGTTGTTGGCACCTATCGCAGCGCCGCACGGCGAATATTCAAATTCACCGCAGCCCGTCTGGATCATTGTCCCGGTCCTGAGGCGCAGTCATCCGGAATCCTTCGTCAGCCATCGTTAGAACTTTGGAAGAATTCAGCGACGGCTCATTCAATTAGTACTCTGCACGGCGTTGCATACGTGATTGATTTCAGTTGTCCTTGGACTTTGGAATGACTTGGCCTGCCGTCCCAATCTGGGTGAACTAAGCTATTCGATACAATTTTTCAATTGTAACCACGCATCGTTGCCAATTGCAACATGTGAGCACATCTTTGCGAGGTGTAAAAGTTATTATTTGACCCGCAGAGATAGTTACGCGGGTATTCGTATTTTTAGTACCTCAATTGATAGATAATATTCAAATTCATCACTTAACACTGCATTGTGACACTTGGGTTCGGATAAAGTTGTGCGCACAAGAAGAAAGTAAGATGGTAAATCTTAGAGTTAGCAATCTCATTGTCAACTACTGCGTGGCACTGAAACTATCTCCATGTGCAGGCCGCCAGGAGGCTATCCGAAACAACCTGGCTTTTCTCATGAGGTTGCTTTGTTGATGTAACTCCAACGTCGTCATGAACGCCAATAAAGGCAGCACATGCGACGGTGCAAACAGGAAACCATCATCTTCAACAATTTCACAGTGACTCATGCGGACAGACTAAGTCCTCATTGGCTTACAGGTCTGAGTCTCGCAAGCATGCCCTCAGCCGACTTGTTCGTCAACCCAAACTTGATACGGCCAGCCGTGTCGGCGTTAACTAGCTCAATCTCGAAGTTCCGCACCACAGCCGCCACCAAACACGCCAGCTCGGCGCGTGCAAAAGCGTGACCTATGCATGATTTGCTGCCGGCACCAAACGTCAGCATAGAGAAGTTGCCCATGGTGCCGAGTTGCTGAGGATTGTGCTTGTGGTTGTGGTTACTGTCAGGAGAGGACGAAAGCCATCGGTCCGGACGGAACTGGTGTGCGTCCGGGCCCCAGACCTGCTCGTCGTGGTTGACGGCCATGGCTGAGTACAGAACGGGCGTGCCCTTGGGAATGGGCTGGCCGACGAGAGACGTGTCCTTTTGCGTGACGCGGACGAGCAGCGGGATGAAGGGATAGTGCCGGAGCACCTCGTTTAGCACGGCGTTAAGGTATGGCAGGTCCTGCACGATGGTTCCCGGGTTCCATCTAGGATTACCAGCATCATTATGAGACTCGTTGGAGTTGAGGGCTCGTCTGATCTCGGAACGCAAGCGCTGTTGGATCTCAGGGTTTCGACCCAACTCGTACATGGTCCACTCAAAGGCCGTGGCAGTCGACTCGTGGCCGGCTGTGAGGAACGTCATAACGTGGTCGACGAGCTGTTCGCCTTGAAACGAGCCGCTGGCCAGCGCGACCGTGATGATGTCCTTGCCGTCCACCGAACCAACCACATTATCACTATTCCCTCTCTTCTTCGTCTCGAGCAGTGCCTTCTTACGCTCCTCAATGACGGTTCGGGCGACGCCACGGAGGTAGTTGCTGGCCTCTACCACCTCCAGGTTCTTCTTGAAGGGCAGCTTTAGCAACAGACGAAAGTCAATGTGGTGGCTCAACAGTTCGATCCAGTAGAAGGCGCGAGTGGGCTCCATGATCATCTTCTTGTAGCGCCTCCGTAGCTCGTTATCGGGCTTGTGCAGCGTGTCGAAATCGTATGCCATTCCCGCCAAACCGATCCCGTCAAGCGTGGCTCTCGACCCGTACTCGCCGAGCGAAATGACGGTATCGGGACCCCGCGTCGCCCGCTCGTCGTCAAAACACGCCGTCATCTCCTCGGCCTTACTCCAGAAGAGTGGTACGAGGGCGCGGATGTGCGCTGTTGTGAAGGCCGGCAGCAGACTCTTGCGATGGCGCTTCGTCTCCTCATCGGAAATGAAGCCCAGATTGCTGCCCGTGAAGCGCTTCATGGCCAGCTTGACGAGGCTCGAGTGGCCGAAGTCGTACGCCTTGACGCCTAGCATCTCGCGCAGCGCGTGCGGTTTGGTAACGAGCACCAGCTCGCGGCTGAAGGCACCGTAGTACCGGATCAAGCCGTTGTTGGGGATCGACTTGACGACGTTAGGGAAGTCGGTCCATGGATTGTCAAGGAAGTAAATGTCTTTGTTTCCCGTAAGATATTTCCGCTTTGGCGGAGTGGGGAGATGGCGCAGAGGAGTGAAGTAGGTCGGATACAGAACGATCCAGTATCCAACCCAGAGGGCCAAGAATAGTATTTCGAGGGCCAAAAAACCGAGCACGGAGCCAACGCCATCGCTACCAGTGATAAGCTGGTAGAGGAGGGTAATAGAAGTGCAAAGCACGGCTAGAAACCACGCGTTCAAAGTGACCGACATTGTTCGTCAAGTTTTCAATTCAGTGGGCTTGTGTAATTGTTCCAGAGTTGCAATCGGAAGTTTAAAAACTTAGATTTGGCTTCGTCGAAGGGAGAGATGTCGAGGTGACTCGACCCAGGGCCATGGTAAAGACTCAACCTGGAGCCATGATGAACACCATACTGAAGAAACATTTCGGGAGGCAATTTCACGTTCGTTCAATTACGTGTCGGAGGTTTATTGACCGGTGATTGGGGCCGGTGTGACCGGCGAATTTCGATGACGGTATAGTCGCCTTGTCTGCTGGAAGGCATTCCATCATGATTCCTATAGAGATTATACTGACCGGTACCCGGATACCTCGGTTTAATCCAAGCTTATCCGCTTGTCAAGTAATAGCTTGCATTTAACCAGATAACTTGACGAAAAATGGCACCACATGAAAGCATCACCATCTTCACCATCTCGTGTTGAACTGAAAGTCTACTTCACCTAGTTCTATCCGGGACCTCTCAGATCTCAGTTTCATCTTTGAATATACAGACTGATACACAATCCTTCTGACGCCTTTCACTTCCCAACCACATCAAAACCACGATGGCGGCTATACCAACAGAACAAACCGCCCTCATCGGCATGGAAGACGGCAGCTTGGGACTTAGCCAATACGTCAAAGTGCCAGAACTGGAAGATGACATGATCCTGGTTAGAAACATGGCCGTGGCGCTAAACCCTATTGACGTAAAGATGGTGGGCAAACTCGCCACTCCTGGAGCCGTGGCCGGCATGGACTTCGCCGGCGAAGTGGTATCCATAGGCTCCAAGGTGCAAACAAGCGTCCCCATCCAGATCGGAGACCGTGTCTGCGGCGCCGTGCCGGGCATGCACGCTCTCACCCCGAACGTGGGCGCCTTTGCTCAGTATGTTGGCGTCTCCGACGTTGTCACCATGAAGATACCGAACCACCTCACGTTCGAGGCGGGTGCATCCTTGGGAAGCGGCATCGGCACCATCGGACAGGCACTTTTCCAGTCGCTGCAGGTTCCCGGCACTCCTGACAAGCCCTGCAAGAAGCCTGTTCAGGTTCTCGTGTACGGTGGAAGCACGGCAACGGGCACGCTGGCCATCCAGCTGCTTAAATTGTCCGGTCTGGACCCCATCGCCACATGTTCGCCGCACAACTTCGACCTGGTTAAGTCGTACGGCGCTTCGGCGGTTTTCGACTATCATGCCTGTCCGGCATCGGACTCCTCGGACTCGACGGACCATGCAGACACCCCCGAAGCCGCCATTAAGCGCCACACCCGTGGCTCTCTTCGGTACGTGCTCGACTGCATCTCGGAGCCCGATACCATGCAGTTCTGTTACCGGTGTCTGGGTCGCGCGGGCGGCAGGTACACGGCCCTGGAGCCTTTCCCAGCCTTCCTTGCCGAGACGCGCAAGCACACCGTCGCGGCGGGTTGGGTTCTGGGCCCTACGCTGCTGGGCAAGCCGCTTGGCTGGCCCGAGCCATTTGCACGCGCTGGGAATCCCAAGGATCGCGAGTTTGCGCGCTGGTGGTTCGCCATTGCGCAGAAACTCTTAGATGAGGGGGTCTTGCGTGTGCATCCTTTGAGGATTGTGAATGAGAGGGGAGGTGACGGGTTTGCGGCTGTGGAGGAGGGCTTGGCAATATTGAGGAAGAAGCAGGTTTCTGGGCGGAAGCTCATATGCCGTATCCAGTACTAATAAGCCGTATAGTGTTTTCGAGACTAGCTTCGTTGGTTTATTTTCAGTAATGCATAATTACCTACTTTGAATGAATGGACAGAATGAACGGACAATTAGTCCACGTCTATTCGCCTCGCCAGACAGAATTCGCCGGTTGATAAGCCTGTTTGAACGCCGAGTACCACATGCATATACACATATGTCAGTAGTGTCCACTGATGGGAAATATTTTGCCCACGCACACACACCCACCTTGTACACTTTTTACGCGTTTGTTTTAGTCACATGTTCCCTGTTTCCCAAACTTGACAATCCCCTGTTCCGCCCAAGATGAAGTTCCTCGCCTTGACAACCACCATCTTTGCCGCGGCTAAGTCTGTGTGGACCCGTGGGAGCCCGTTTGCCGTACTGTCGGCTTTGTGGGCGACTAATCATGAGGGCAAGTATATCATCGAGGCAGAGGGTATCCGGTTAGCATTCACCAATCATGGGGCGGCCGTGACCAACCTATGGATCAATAATACCCGTGGAGAGGAAATCGATATTGTATTGGGTCTTGATAACGGTGAAGACTACGCCAAGCTGACGTCCAATCCATATCTGAACGGCGTCATAGGTAAGGACTGGTGTACAATACGTGATGAGTTCCCTGCTCTTCCCTTCCCTTTACTTTTGCCTTTCCCGTTTAAGAAGGAAAAGCAGAATCAAGCTGCTGACAAGAGCATTCAGGACGGTACGCCGGCTACTTGAGTAACGCCAGCTACGAAGTAGACAATGTCAAGCGCAAGGTATGGCCCAACGCACACAATGGCACCTCCACCTTCAACGGCGGCGATGAAGGTTGGGGACGACAAACATGGGACGTCGCCGTGCACATCAACAATAGTATCACATTCCTATTATTCGACCGCCAATGGAACGGCTTCCCAGGCGTCTTCGCCTCATGCCTCACCCACACCGTCACGCCTTACGAGTGGCGCATCGCCTTCGGAGTCACTCCTCTCCTTTTTGCCGGACCCATCAACCTGAGTCAGCAGGTATTTTTCAACCTCGACGGCTTTCGCCCCTCTCTGGCATCTACGTCCTTGACGTCGAGGGGTCCAAACAGCAACACGTCGTGGACGCAGGCCCAGAGATCACCGACCCACCGGCTTCAACTGCCCTCATCGGGAATGCGGTTTGCAATGGATCCGCAGGGAATCCCGACGGGAGATCTTCTGAGCAATAGAAAAGGGAGCGAATACGATTTTTGGTCGTCCGCGAAAACCACCATGAATGGCTCGCGCGGGTTGGACGACGTCTTTGCCATTTCCCACACTCACCAAGAGCACAAGATGAACAGCCCCGCCGCCATCCTCTCGTCAACACATTCCGGGATCAGCATGTCGCTCTACACAGACCAGGACGCGTTACGCGTGCATACATGGGAGGGGAGCAATGGTAAGTAGAACGGAAGTCCCACCTCGTGATATCTTGTGTAAATGCCACTGACTAAAGGATGACGTTTCCAGAAGTAAAGAAACTGAAGGTCGGCCAAGGTGGGGACGAGATACCACAACACGCCGCGATATCCCTCGAAATGCAGAATTGGCCGGATAGTGTCAATCATCCGGAGTGGCAAAATAGGAAAACGATTTGGGGTGCGGATGGGCTATATACTAGCTTTGCGACGTACAAGTTCTCTGTTCAGGGCAAAAGCTAGAGTTTGCCCTGCTGATGTCACAGTCAACCAAGATCAAGACTTGGATTGAAAATGATCTACCAGATAACGCATAGAGACGAGCAAAATGTTATGCAGTTTTGAAGCACAAGAAATTATAAGGTCTGGTTTTCCTGACCACTAAATTGACACCCGTCAACAAATGCAGAAAGAAAAAGATATTCACGTAGTTCATGGAGCCTTTGTCGGCTATTTATACATGCCGGGGTTTGTCTATCTATTTGGGCCAACACACGAAACACATTCTTGACCTCTTTCATTTTGTTTCCAGGCATTTTTTCACATCCCCTTGGGGAGATTGAGTGACGGTATATCAATTTGTACATGTTTTACTTCTCATGATGACACTTCCCCCAACTCCCACGCAGATATAACCTCGCGTACCACCGCGGCAACGTCCTTGGCAGCAGACGGAACCTGGTGACCACCCGGAAAGATGACGGTTCGCGTCAAGGACGCATTGAAATGTGTCCTCACCAGACGTTTACCTCCATGCGCCCAGGGGTCAGATGTCCCATGTACTTGAACCAGCCGCACGTCGAGATTCCGCCGAGCCTTCTCCTCCTCCGGCGACTCCATAGATGCGCTCCCAACCGAAAGGCTCGGGAATACGGGACTGATCAGAATGGCAATCTTGATGCGCGAGCCGAACTCGCCATCCAAACACAACCCCGTCGCCACCCGCGTGCCGTGACTAAACGCCATGATGCCCACGATGCCCTGCCCCGTCTCCTCCGCCTCGGCTTCAAAATGACGCGTGATGAGCGCCCTGACGCGCGCCCTTTCAACATCCACGGCCTCGGCCGAAACGCCCGTCTCGATCTGCGCTTTATCGTAGTGCCAGCGACGGTACGGTTTCTGATCCGCGTAGGTGGGGATGACGCCAGGGCCGGGTTGCCACGATGTGAAGGGCGAGTCGACGAAGATGAAGCGAAACCGGTCACTGAGGGATTTGACCAGGGCCCGGGACTGGTGGGAGAAGATGGCGCCGTTGGTGCCTTGGCCGTGGAGACAGAGAATCGCGGGTAGGCGGCTATAGTTTGCGGCTGGTGTGCATGGTGAGGAAGATTCCTTGGAGTCCGACATGGTGTTGCGATGGGGGTTCGAAGACCACCGAAGTGCCAGTATGGGGAGAAAATCCACGGCAAAGTAGCTTTCGGGCCTTCACTTCTACGGTAGCAGGGGTTCTAAGAATTCGATCGTTTCCTGCACCATCCTGCGCATCGCTCGTCCTGCCAAGCTAATTACCACACCGGTAAATTTTCATAACCGGAATTACGAAACACAACATCCGCCGTCGCTGCCTAAACGGCGTTTAATACACCGGCTGAAGAGAAAACTCGCCGGTTGAAGTGAGAGATCACGATAGCTTGGCTGAATTATTCTCGAATCCTTTTATGCGACGCACACTTGCGGAATGGAAGCTACCCTTGTCAAGAAAAGCCTCCCGGGATGCCCAAATAGGCCTAGAGTCTGATGGCGTTCCTTGATTTGTAGATCATTGATTTACATGCAAGGATCAGATGTTCCACGCTAGTCAATTTGACGGCACGGCACGAAACGAATGAAATATGCGGCGGAATATGGAAGGTTGCATGCCGTCTCCCAGGTACCTTATGTGCACTTGGCACTTGAGGCTTCCACAGCTTCTGATGCATTTACAATTCAACTGAAGGTTCTTTCTGTCAAGATTGCAATTCTATTATATCCGAAAGTTGTAACGTTGTAATTGTGCCTTTTTTGACGTTAGACGAAGGCTCAAATCGCCACCAGGAGCAAACAGCGTGTACTAGGGCAATACACATATGCCCAAACCGGATTAATGCATACTGTTATGACCCCATAGACCTGGCACTTTATTGTTAGTGACCTTATTTGGCTCGGAGCGGGGCTGGTCTCACTTTATTTGAGTTTGGTTTGATTAGAGCACTTCGGGAAATGTGAACGTTATGAATTGCGGGCCAAAAACTATCTGCAATATATAGCTATAGAGTAAACATCTTGCCAGATGTGTTCTTCTTCTTTCGTGAAGTCAAAAATCTATTCCAACATGTATGGCTTGTGTTATAACTCTTCCCTAGCCGCGTCGCCAGCAGTGGGTGTTGAGGCAGGCGACAGTACTCCCGCAGTGATGTGTGCCTCCACGGCATCGGCGATTTTACCACTTCCCGCAAGTGAGGCAAACGACCGAATCGACGTATTCAGCTGTCGCATTATCAGCCGAACCATGTGCTGGACAACGTCCTCATTGAGCACCGGCTGGGACGCGAGGTTGAAGCCACCCAGCTGAAGAACCGGGTAACGGTTGCCGCACCGCGGAGGTCCATTAGCCGGAGTAGAAGCTGGGAACATGTTCTGTAATGATGGCGACGGACATTGTGGGGCCATATGGGTTCTGATACTGCTACCGCTGACGTTACTCTGCGGCCGTGTTGTCGTATTAATGATGGGGTGGAGTAATTGTACGACGTAGCTGTAACACGTCATTATTTGCAGCGTTGTGATGCGGTTTGTTTGCCGTGCCGGTAGTTTGGTATTGGAGTTTATCTGGATCTGAGTCTGCACGATTTCGAGCAGATGATTCGTCAGGCCCAGGATCTCGTCCACGGCCGGAGAGGCCTCGTGGCCGGAGTCGAACAAGAGTTGTTGCAGTTGACTCTGCATCATTATAAGAGTGTCGGTTGTCTCATTAACATCCCCTTTTCCGCTGTTAGAGGACACGGTGTGGTTTCTATTTTGAGGTGAAATTGCAACATGTTCTTCTTGTGCGGATGCATCAGCAACAATATTGTCACCATACGGGGGACTATTGGCCATGAAGATGGCTGGGTCCAACTGCCACTCGGAATCTTTGATGATGGGAACTAGTCAGCCAACGGTTCTTCGATTGAGGAATTGAGGGGCAAAAGGAGGACGGGAGCTTTGCTCATACCATGACACTGCGTGGCCTCGGTCTGATTGACGGAAAGATCGACGTCCCAGGAATACTGGTTGAAGTGGGCCGCCGCATGGCTAGAAGCCGATGACGATAAAGCGGAGTTGTCGAACTCGAACTGCAAGGTGCCGTCTGTTGGTATCGTTTCCAATCGGACGTCCTGCTGGGCGTCTTCGAGCGGGACAAGCCGAGATGAGGTGGATGTCCCGGGGCTCCGGCTCCGGCTCGCGCGTTCAACTTCAGCCGACGAGGCATCTTGTTTTCGGGTCCTTGGACGGCCGACTTGGGACTTTTTGCTGTACACACAATCTGCATCTAACCTCTCGCACCTATCACAACGACTTTCGATTCCGCCGGATCGGGTGCAACGATTCTTCATATCGTGGCACCGGTCACAGGCGCTTCGGAGCTTGGCCTCGTTGGCTGGCTGAAGACGTCTCATGATCGAGAGAAAAAAGAGAAAATTCAAACCTTACTAGTTGGCGGGTATTCAGCCTCATGGAACTGGAGACAAGCCTTGAATACTTAAGGTTAATAGCCCGTGATGATACTGCGTATTACGCGTGTGCGGCACGGTTCACATCGCTTCAATTTGGGTTGGTGTCTGCCTGCATCAGATATTGGAAGTCATCTCAGACCATTACACCATCAAAGTGGAGATCAGTCATTCCTTAGGTGGCTAGGTCAAGATGGTCTCGGTCTGTTGGTTCATGTCTCATAAGAACTTTGGGTGTATGAGTCGCGCGGCTGCTGTATTAGTGCGGACACAACGCAGCCGTGGAGGGGTTCTGGTTCGCTGCGTAGATTTCGTACAGACTTGGCACTGCTGACGGTACCCATTCCAGTATCCACCTTGGAATCCTATGTCGGCCGATCCCGCGTTTAGTGTCACCGAGGTCTTAATCAGGTACTACGTAAGCATTGAATACATTGGGGTGGTGGCTAGGGGTGGGGATCGGACTCTTGTCCGAGGTGTAAGCAAGAAGACATTGCGGCGGGAGGGCTGTTATCGTACCACGGAATTCCTACTCTAGCCATACCATTCAGCCAAAGGTCCAAAAGAGACGTCTCAGTCTGGGTGGCAGTGTTGGGGGCTTTATGCAGAAGCGGGCGATATCTGACTGACTATCCGTAACAGTCTGACAGGTGCGCCTCAAAAGTCCAGGCTCGGAATGCCAAGCCAACCCCCTGTCACAACCAGGGAGCTGAAAGTACATGTATTTTCCGTTTCGAGATTGCATTTAGCCTGTGCAATTGGCTCATCTTTTGCCTCAAATACAACAATAACGCTATTGGTCACTTTCCTCTCCCTCGCAGTCTTTGGAAGCCAACGATGGGAAAAGGCCCTCGTTGTATGGAAGAAAGGCCCCAACGACGAATTCGGAATATAATTTACACTTCTTACGCATGTAGGAGTGTGTTTACGTGTACACTCAAGAGAATTGTCGCCATATCTAGTCAGCACCCCCCACGGCGGTGGTAGAGTAATTACAACGGCAGTCTTATCATCCCACACGAACCTCTTCCGGTCCTCGAGTGCCCAGTGAGGGTGGGTGAGGCACTACTGCAGGTACACAGCCCTCTTCTCTTTCGTCAGGCCTGGCTTTCTGGTCTGCTTCGTCATCCGGGAGGCGGCCCGTAAAGAGTCTGCCATACGTTTTCCGCAGAAACGTTTTTGAACCGGGCGTCAGCGATATCAGTGCAATTTTCTTCGCGGCTATAATGGTCTCGACACCACTTAAGAAAATCGTGACTTCTGCCTGGTTTCCTAGCTAGCCACTGCAACAGGTATCCCGAAAGCCTTCGGAGAGGTAGGCACCGTTGGGCAGGTATTGAAGGGGGAAATGTTGTTCTTGTACCCTGCGCAGGTAAACATGTCACAGCACCACTCGATAGCTCACGGGATGAAACAACTGACCCTCAGCCTTATACTAATGGAAAGGTCACTCGGTGACCCTAGTGGAGATTCATTCGGTTTGAGGCTACATGTAGTTATGTGCTTGTACTTATCCGTATGTGCGCAAGTGGTGTGGCTTTGGTATATGTACCTTGGCGTTGTTTTTGTTAGAATATACGATGCTATCTCATCAATTATTACAGATTCTTTAACATTGCTTTCCAATTCAGAATAAGTTGCTAGAATACAAACACAAACTCTTCATTCTCCAAATCCGTCAAGTTATCAAACGCTCTTGCACCAACATTCTCTTCGGCCTGCTCCTCCCCGGTGGCGGCCATCTCATGCCCATTATCCCCAGCTGCCTGCGCAGCCTGCTCCTGCTTGGCCTTCTCAGCCTCGGCAGCAGAGAACAAACTTGTGTCGATGATGACGGCGCTCTTGCCCATGGCTACGCGGCGCTTGCTATGCGAGCGGTTGAGGAAGGCGAGATACAGGCTGACAAGGACGACAAGAACGACAATAACGCAGTAGAGAACGAGGTTGGAGGTCAGACCACGGGTGTATCTGGGTGCTTCGGCGGGCTTGTAGAGTAACGGGCCAACGACATTACCGACTGATTGGCCGATGAAGAGGACGGCGGATGTGCACTTCCGCTTGGTGTCGCCGGCCGTGTTGGCGGCGGACCAGGAGTAGATCAGGGGTGCTGGAGAGGTGTTAGCCAAAGGCCGTCCATGTGAGTGAGTGCGGGCTGGGAAGGCTCACTGATTCCTGGGTAGACGGAGATGAGGTAGTATCCCACTAGTCGTGCGGCTTGTTGGCCGCTGGTGGGAAGGACCATCAACATGACGCAGCCCGCAATGGGTGGGATGCAAAGCCCGGCAATGACTGGGCCCTTCTTGTGGATCTTGGTAGCAATCCATGAGCCGCCGACTGTAGCGACGAGCTGGACGAAGCCGAAGGGGATGTTGAAGAGGATGGTTTGGAAGGAGTCGAAGCCAAAGGACTTGATGATAAGAGGACCGAACGTGGAGATTCCACCAGACGGGATTCTACCAGGCATTAGTCTATGTGATAGTTTGCAAACAAGGGAAAGTCACTTACGAAATGGAAAAGACAAGGGAAAACCAGCACCAAGTCTTGATATCCAATATGCTCTCCTTGAAATGATCCCAGCGCCACTCGCGGGACATGACACCCTGTTGGTTCATTCGGAGACGCTCAATTGCGATGAGCTTATCGTGGTCGTTGAGA